TTGGAATAAACATGACATGATTGTGCACAGTAAGACCAGGAGCAAAAGAAACATGAAATTAAGATCTTTATAACACACCTTTAGGTCTTTCATAGCATCTAGTTGACTAGTTGCGGTGGAGATCAGGGCGTTGACGGTTAGCTCCGCTCGCTTGCGGAAGTGCTGCTGGCGCGTGGCATAACACACAGAGCGCGCTCGGTTACTGACAATGTGATATGCATTCCACGTATCCGAGTCCATGTCCGCTGTGCACTCTTTAATAGACTGCAGGGAAAGATAATATCGGTTTAATCAGACTCAATGAATTCCACATGTAAAGCGCTACACAACTAGAACTGCTTGTGTTGACTGACAATGACAAGTATTTCACTTACAAACAGATCAGCAGATTTAGGACCTATAAAACAGCAAAGTTGTGCCTATTGACCATACCATTTCTTCAGTGCAAGAGTAAGTCCTGCGACCCTCCACCTCTGATTGGCAGTTGAACAAAGCCACGCCCAGTTTGGCCAGCTGCTCCTCTGACAGGCCGCTGCAAGTAGCTTTGAGCTGAGCAAAATTAGAGATTGACCGATATTTAATCATTTTACAATAATTGGATATCGGTTTTGTAATATCAGATTCACCGATAAACGCCGCCATGTGCGAGGCTGCCATTATGGCACAACTTTACTGGGTTTACTGATTAGCGATCGCAGTTTGAGTATAGTTGTGTAACTGCATAGATAAACCGCGCTGTCAGCAGGCATTTCATAATCTAGAACAAAAACTTTAATAATTCTGATATAACATTCCAGTTGAGAAATGCAATAAAATACAATGTTTTGTTGATTTCAATATTCCAGAGAATATTCAGTGAATTAACATTATCCAGTGAATTATTCTGACTCTGTAGCTATTAAACCGCTTATAAACCTACTAAAACTGTAGTTTAAAATTAAGTTGATATGACCCCTTTCATTTGCTCCATCTGAAAACATTAGACTGTCTACATTTATTTTGCTTATTGTTAATAGTGTTGATGCTGATGCTTTAAATAAAATGTGTTATTGTAATATGAAGATTAAATTTAACATGAAAGACTGCTAATTTAACTATTTATTTTTTTATTTTTTTAAGATGACTGAAAGAAGGAAAAACCAAATTGAAGTATGTTCTTACTTCACTCAGTCATTTATTTACTTTATAACAGTAAATAAATATCGGTTCTGCATATCGTTTATTGGGCACAAACACGCAAATAATTGGTATCATTATAAAATATCAATATCGGTCGATCACTACTATAAATGCAGAATAACACCTTAAAAGCACCTTCATTTTCTCTGTGTGCCGGCATATTTCTATTTTTGAAAATAGGCTCATTTTCCAACTCCCCTAGAGTTAATTATCATTGAATCTGATTAGACCATCTCGCTCAAATGACCAGAGTTTCTATATTTTTCTTATTTAAAACTTGCCTCTTCTGTGGTTACATCGTGTACTAAGGTGCTGCGTAATATCATTGCACCTGCTGCACCCATGGTACGGCAACAAAGTTCCTTGATTATTACGCTGGAATGAGAGTATAGTTCCTAGCCATATCGGCCTAGAAAATTGCAACTTTGCATTTTCCGTTGGTCTTGGTACACTATGTAACTACAGAAGAGTTAAGTTTTAAATAGGAAAAATATATAAACTCTTTGGTCATTTTTGAGCGAGATGCTAACAGTCTAATCAGATTCAATGATCGATGCTAAGCTACAGCTAAAAGTGCTATCGCCAGACCCGGAGATCGGCTGAATGGATTTGAAAACGTTAACTCAACTGTTTAACTCTAGGGGAGTTGGAAAATGAGCCCATTTTCAAAAATAGTGGAGTGTTCCTTTATATATATATAAAAAAAAAAAAAAACTCACCATCCTCAATATAGTGCACTACATGCTATTCACCACACAAAAATTTGTAAACCGAGCTTTAGCATCTTTTTAAGAAAAGTACAGGGTGGGACAATTTAGATGCTATATTTGATTGGACATAAAATCTGAGAAGCTCAAGTGCAGAATGTCATCAAAAGTTTCAATTCATATTGGTTGTAGAGAAATACTGTACATTTTTAATGCATATATCTAAAAGGCAATTTTAGATGATATATTTTTTGGAGCAAACCAGTTGTTTGTTTGTGTATATATATATATATATAAACTTAAAGGGCTAGTTCACCCCCCCAAAAAATTAAAGTGATTATTACGTTTTGAATATGGATATTTTTCTAACAAAAACGCATCGATTCGCTACAGAAGGCCTTTGTTCACCCCTAATGTGTTCATATTGAAAGTCACGAAACAAATTGTGATTCCATGGGGACTTTATTAGATTCTTAAAGGTGACAGTAGCCTAATAAATGAATGCGTCCTTGGTTTTACCCAATTTGCATACTTGATACTGCTGTTAGATACAGTCAGTGCTGGGTAGTAACTGATTACATGTAATCTGGATCATGTAATCAGATAAGTACTTGTAATTACACTATTACATTTTTAAATGTTCATATTAGTTACTTTTTTATAAATTACATGATTCCATATTATTCACACATGGCAGTACATTATTCATAATTTGATTCTCCCTAATTATGTTTTTCCTCTTTTACATTTCCAAAAGTCTGTTTTCATATGTATGAATTATTTTTTTTTTTTTTACAACTCACAGAACCCACTGTGGTTCTTACATTAAGCCCAGTTTGGGAAAACCTGGTTTAATGTAACGTTTCAATGCATTTTATGATGTTGATAAAAAAAAAGAAAAAAAAAAAGAAATGGAATTTCTATTTTCTTTCCCTTTGCTTTTTTAATATCAATATACTGTGATGGTAAGTTTGAAATAAGTTTGATAAAATTTAAAAAAAAAAGTAACCTAAACGTGAAATTCACCTTTTGGTGACAAACTGCTTTGAAGCAGTATGTATTGTATATAGCGCTATTTAAAGAAAATTGGCTTGACATGGCTGTTCTATTGCCTGTAATTAACCGATTGTTGATTGTGAAATCATTAAAAGTAACATGCCATATACATTGTGCAGTGCTTACCCGGAAATGGCAGCTATCCAGTGGACTGAGCTCCATCTGCTTTGCTTCTGCCAAAAACTTCTCATCAACAACACTCATTTCAAAGGCCGGAGTCTCTCCGTGGAGCAGAATCGGGGCAATGGTTTCCTCTGGAGGAGGAGGAGGAGGAGCAGGAGCGGGAGCGGGTGCAGACGTCTTCAGCCAGTCAAAGAAAGCATCCACCTCACCACACTGCATGCTGAACACCCACAGCATCACAAACCAAAGCCCCATCCTCAGCAACCACCCTGCACACAGAAGACCAGCACATGTGTAAAACACCACACACGCACACACAAAAACATTTCCCTTTCGTTCGGTTGCTCAAAAACATTTGCTAGCTGGCCACGTAAAACATTAAATATGTGCAGCATACTGATCATTTAAAAACATCCTGTATTTTCAATTTTTAAAACAAACTAACAAATACACTGCCATTCAAAAGTTTGGGATCAGTAAGATTTGTAATGATTTTTTTTTAAAGACGTCTCTTCTGTTCATCAAGGCTGCATTTATTTGACCAAAAATACAGAAAGACAGTAATATTGTGAAATATTACCATTTAAAAATAGTGGTTTTCTACTTTAATATATTTTTTAAAATGTAATTTATTGCAGTGATGCAGTGCTGAATTTTCAGCATCATTACTCTAGTCTTCAGTGTCACATGATCTTCAGAAATCCTTATAATATGCCGACTTATCAGTGCTGGAAACTCTTGTGCTGCTTCATATTTATTTGGAACCTGCGACTCTTTTTTTCAGGATTATTTGATAAATAAAAAGAACAGCATTTATTCAAAATAGAAATATTTTGTAACAGTATACACTACCTTTCAAAAGCTCGGGGTCAGTATTTTTATTTTGAAAGAAATGAATGCTTTTATTCAGCAAGGACATGTTAACTTGATAGAAAGTGATGATAAAGACTTGTATTGTTAGAAGAGATTTCCATGTTAAATAAATGCAGTTCTTGTGAACTTTATTCATCAAATAATCCTGAAAGATTTCGCAGGTTCCAAATAAATATGAAGCAGCACAAGTTTCCAGCACTGATGATAAATCAGCATATTATTATGATTTCTGAAAGATCATGCGACACTGAAGACTGGAGTAATGATGCTGACAATTCATCTTTGATCACATTTTACAATATATTCACATAGAAAACCACTATTTTTAAATGGTAATAATATTTCACATTATTACTGTCTTTTTGATCAAATAAATGCAGCCTTGATGAATAGAAGAGGCTTAATTAAAACACATTAAAAATGTTACCGATCCCAAACTTTTGAACAGCAGTGTATATAAATGCATTAAAAAAAAGATAGAAAAAAGAAAACAGACAAACAAATACACTAAAGGGAAGAAGTTGCAGAAAGGCTACAACAGAAGCAGAACAATACCAATGTGTTGCCAAAACAAACACAAGTCACTTACAGAGATGCATTACTCTACTAATGGGTCTATCAGAAACTGCTCCACCTGCTATTAGCATTGATGGTAACGTGAGGTCTGGCTGAAACATGCCCGGGCTTAGATCCTCCTCTCCCAGCTGACTGAACCACAGAGGGACACCCAAACTAAACATCTCACCGTGCATCTCTGGCTTGAGCAAACTGAGCTGGACTTCTACAGCGTGCATTTTATTCGGAAATGCATGTTATACAATTAATATAAGACAGACATTCAAATTTACAATTCAATTCCGATTGCATTGAACGCCCGTATCAACACATGCTCTGCACTTACCTCAATACGCACTACAGAGTCTGCTATAGAAAAGTTTCAGAGGAGAGTAATCCCAACACACGTCTATCCAACACTCATCTAAACGCTCCAGTAACTTGGATTCAACTGTTTAAATGGACTCACGGCAGCCAATCAGCGGCAGCGGGGTGCTACACAAACATCGCGATATTTGCTGGTTAACTCAGGCGCGAGATTTGACGAGACTTGTGTGTTTTGTGAAACCGGGAAGTGGGCGATTGCTGAAGATAAATAAAATACTAATAAAGGCTATTTGCTGTCGTGTTTATTAGCGTTCATTATGTAACGAATCCGTTGTAACTCTACGGCGACCCCAAGCGAGAAGAAGGGACGTTATTGTTGGAGCGCACGGATGTTGTTTACACTCGGTGTTGATGGTTATGGAGGGTAACGTTAAACCGGCGACGCTCCTGCACGCGGCTCCTCCGTACGGACACATACTCACTCACGAGAGGTGGAGGCGCTCGACGCTCGCGCAGACTCTCAAAGGTCGGGAACACTCAGAGCTGTGTGCTTTTGGACTGACTTCTAACACTTCACAGAGCAAACAGGAAATAAACACGCTTGCACACTCACACTAGTCATTTAACCTGATATCATTAACATCTGTAGAATTGAAACGTGACCGATACGTTTGTTTCGCTTTATAGCAATATTTATAATTAATATTGTACGTGTCCTAGGTGCACGCCTTCAAAGCAGCTTTACAGTACAAACCTGGGTCACTAAATTCAGTTACAGTAATCGAGCAGTGCTGTTTTAGTATCACTGAGAGACTACTCACGGTTTTGTTCATGTGTATGCTTTCATGTTAAAGTTTTAGTCGCTGTGTTGTGCATTTTTTAGCATTGTTATCAGCTTTTGTTGTTTTTAAATTTGTCTATATATTATATTTATTTTATTTCAGTTTTAGTTCTTTTAAAACATCAATTTATCCTATCCTTGTATATATATATACATACAATTATAATTTTTTTTCTTCTTAGACACCATTATATATACATGGTTCATCAGCAGTTTCTGCTTCTCCTATACAGTGATCAATTAATGCAGCATTTCCATCAAACTATGTATTTCTTTCTTTATTAAGATCTGTGTTTGCTTATACACTCTAAAAAATGCTGGGTTAAATACAACCCAGTGCTGGGTAAAATAGGGACAAACCCAGCAATTGGGTTGTTTTGAACCAGTGGTTGGGTTACTACCCAGAAGGGTGAGTTAAACATTTAAACCAACCGCTGGGTCAAAACAGCCCAATTGCTGGGTTTGTCCCTATTTTACCCAGCACTGGGTTGTACTTAGCCCAGCATTTTTTAGAGTGTAGTCTTATGTGTTGCAATTTTGTAAATATTAGTATAATCAATGGTCTGGTCTAGTTCTTCTTTAATATGAGATGCAGCCTGAATGCACTTAATAATGTTGCTAAAACAACTTCTGTCTTGTCAGGGAGTGTGAAGACGATCTTTGAGGAGGAGCTGGGTGTCGTGGACTTCTATCTCAGTAATAAAACCTGTGTCCTTTATGTGTCAGAAAGCGACTTGGTGGCAGGGAACAGCTACAGGAGGAATATTGTCCGGTTTAGAAATGTAAATCACTGATTAGCTCTGATCAGACTGTGATATTTTGGAATCATTATATTATGATGATTTATGGTAAAATAAAACCGAACTGGCCTTATTCTTGTAGGCTAACAGCGGTCTGCAGGCTATTGTGATTGTGGAAAAGACTCCCCTGAGCGAGCAGTACTTCAGCGGATTGCAGAAGTTTGTGGTTTTGGAGCTTGGTTTGACTCTGCTGCCTGTGTCCACCGCTCCTGAAGCAGCTCAGCTCATAGCACAGCTGGTGAGTGAATGCCACATCTTTTTATTTGTATATAATAGCATACTCGTACACACACAATGATGCATTTTGATTATGAGAGTGTGTTTTTGTGCTGGAACCATGGCTGCTTTAGGCCAGTCTAATACTGCGTTCAAGTCCTCCTGGGACGTTCGTACTTACGAGTTGACAAGTCGTAATTACGACGTCAGGTGCGTTCAAGTCAGTTTAGTCGTTACAAGATGGCTGTGTGCCTTCTGTTAATAAATTACAAGAAAATACAACAGGGTCTGTTAACTCTGCTTATAGAAAATGAAGAGCAAAGAATTCGCATCAGGTGTGTTTTGCGTTTTTAATATTTTTAAAACATGCAACATGGCAAATCAAAAGATTTTTCACCTATAGGTGCAAAAATTATAGCGCTTTTTTTACTTGGATTTCATTAACTATCTGTGTAACAAGAACATGACCAATTTAAGTTTATAGGACAACTAAACTATCAATTTAAACAAATTTACCGTCAACTATACGTTGCATCCATCGATTCCGCCATGTTTCTCACTGACACGCCCCCAACTCGGAAACTCGGGACTTAAAGAAAATGTCGAGTTTCCCACTCATAATAATGACTTTGTGGTGGCGTTCATGTGCGTTCAACTCGTAAATACGATCTATCCGACATGACTTGAACGCACCCATTTTTTAGCATTGTTATCAGCTTTTGTTGTTTTTAAATTTGTCTATATATTATATTTATTTTATTTCAGTTTTAGTTCTTTTAAAACATCAATTTATCCTATCCTTGTATATATATATACATACAATTATAATTTTTTTTCTTCTTAGACACCATTATATATACATGGTTCATCAGCAGTTTCTGCTTCTCCTATACAGTGATCAATTAATGCAGCATTTCCATCAAACTATGTATTTCTTTCTTTATTAAGATCTGTGTTTGCTTATACACTCTAAAAAATGCTGGGTTAAATACAACCCAGTGCTGGGTAAAATAGGGACAAACCCAGCAATTGGGCTGTTTTGACCCAGCGGTTGGTTTAAATGTTTAACTCACCCTTCTGGGTAGTAACCCAACCACTGGTTCAAAACAACCCAATTGCTGGGTTTGTCCCTATTTTACCCAGCACTGGGTTGTACTTAGCCCAGCATTTTTTAGAGTGTAGTCTTATGTGTTGCAATTTTGTAAATATTAGTATAATCAATGGTCTGGTCTAGTTCTTCTTTAATATGAGATGCAGCCTGAATGCACTTAATAATGTTGCTAAAACAACTTCTGTCTTGTCAGGGAGTGTGAAGACGATCTTTGAGGAGGAGCTGGGTGTCGTGGACTTCTATCTCAGTAATAAAACCTGTGTCCTTTATGTGTCAGAAAGCGACTTGGTGGCAGGGAACAGCTACAGGAGGAATATTGTCCGGTTTAGAAATGTAAATCACTGATTAGCTCTGATCAGACTGTGATATTTTGGAATCATTATATTATGATGATTTATGGTAAAATAAAACCGAACTGGCCTTATTCTTGTAGGCTAACAGCGGTCTGCAGGCTATTGTGATTGTGGAAAAGACTCCCCTGAGCGAGCAGTACTTCAGCGGATTGCAGAAGTTTGTGGTTTTGGAGCTTGGTTTGACTCTGCTGCCTGTGTCCACCGCTCCTGAAGCAGCTCAGCTCATAGCACAGCTGGTGAGTGAATGCCACATCTTTTTATTTGTATATAATAGCATACTCGTACACACACAATGATGCATTTTGATTATGAGAGTGTGTTTTTGTGCTGGAACCATGGCTGCTTTAGGCCAGTCTAATACTGCGTTCAAGTCCTCCTGGGACGTTCGTACTTACGAGTTGACAAGTCGTAATTACGACGTCAGGTGCGTTCCAGTCAGTTTAGTCGGTACAAGATGGCGGTGTACCTTCTGTTAATAAATTACAAGAAAATACAACAGGGTCTGTTAACTCTGCTTATAGAAAATGAAGAGCAAAGAATTCGCATCAGGTGTGTTTTGCGTTTTTTAATATTTTTAAAACATGCAACATGGCAAATCAAAAGATTTTTCACCTATAGGTGCAAAAATTATAGCGCTTTTTTTACTTGGATTTCATTAACTATCTGTGTAACAAGAACATGACCAATTTAAGTTTATAGGACAACTAAACTATCAATTTAAACAAATTTACCATCAACTATACGTTGCATCCATCGATTCCGCCATGTTTCTCACTGACACGCCCCCAACTCGGAAACTCGGGACTTAAAGAAAATGTCGAGTTTCCCACTCATAATAATGACTTTGTGGTGGCGTTCATGTGCGTTCAACTCGTAAATACGATCTATCCGACATGACTTGAACACACCATTAAACCACCAGTAGGTGGCAGTTTATCCCTCTCTTAATGAGTGATTCATTGAAACGGTTTGTTCAAAACGGTTGATTCATTTAGAAATGAATCAAATTACTTTTTTAATTAATCGGATCATTGAATCATTGACTCAAATGATTTGTTTAAAAGTACAAATGCATTCAAGTACAAAACATTTTAGTTTTGCTCTGGCTTTTTTGGAGCTATTTTCGTTGACGAAACAGACAATATTGTAACTCACTCAGTATTAACTTATCATTTGTTGTATAGAATCGATATCACATCCACAATCACGCTCATGTACTGATATTCTGGAAAGCTGCACTCAAGCAGGATGGATCCATGCTTTTAATGCTGTTTATGCCAAATTTTGACCCAACCGTCCAAACGTGGCAGCAGAAATCTAGGCAACCTACTGTATTTACAATCTTCTACTGTCCAGTTTTGGTGAGCCTGTGCAAATCGTAGCCTCAGTTTCTTGTTTTTAGCTGACAGAAGTGGCACCTGCTGTGGTCTTCTGCTTCAAGGTTTGACATGTTGTGTGTTCAGAGATGTAACGAGTGATTATTTGCGTTATACTGTTGCCTTTCTATCAGCTTGAACCGGTCTGGCCATTCTCCTCTGACCTCTGACATCAACAAGGCATTTTTGCGCACAGAAATGCTGCCTACTGGATACTTTCTCTTTTTCTGACCTTTCTCTGTATACCCTAAAAATGGTTGTGCGTGAAAATCACAGCAAACCAGCAGTTTCTGATATACTCAGACCACCAATAACCATGCCACATTCGAAGTCACTTAAATCACTTTTCCTCTCCGTTCTGATGCTCGGTTTGAACCTATGGGGCATTTGCAGAAACAAGAGATGATATTAATAATGAATGTGTTTGTTGTACAATTGGGCCTGAGACCACATTGATCATTTGAGATTTTCATTTAAACTTTGCAATGAAGTTATTATTATTATTATTATTATTATTATTATTTGATTTAAAAATAAAATGGATAAGCATAAGGACAAAATAAATAAATACGTAAGATTCTGCCACATTTGTATGTCTCACTAATCAAATAACCACATTAGTGGCACTGACCATGTGAACAGTCAAGGTCAGATTTATTTTCTTCCAAAATGTCAAAAAATACCAAATTTAACAGCATTTTCACTTGTGATGTCAGACTTTTAAACTGAGCCATCATTTTTAAACAGAGCCAAATCTATAAATTCAGAAAGTAAACCTGTTAATTGGTTACGTTTTCTTACTTTACACAGTGAAAAACCTGAAATAAATCGAATGAGGCATTTTTTGTGTTTTAGAGTAAAATGTTATGTGTTTGTATGTTTTTATGTAACGGCACCGTGCACATGCACACAACTATCCAAATATATTCATATTTTTATAGTTGGTATGTATTGCGGAGAAAGACAGTTGTTTATATTTATTTTTGTCAGCTGTGATTTAAGGTGTTTGTCAGTACATTATAAAGCTAAAACAAACAATTTCAGTAATTTGCTGTACCGTACTTTTTGCTGTAGCCTACTATCTGACAGGTTTTTTTGTTATTACTTGGAGTGCATAATCTGGTCTCTGTCGGCCTCTGTCAGAACTCATACAGTACATGTCTCTGTCTGTAGCTGCTGTGATCTATTGGGTTTCTGCTCGACTTCCTCTTTTAAGTGTCGCACACTGCTGGCAGAGCTTCAGCCTTCCTGCTGGACTACAAAGCAGCTCACTCTCAACGGCTTTCCTCGGGGAGATCAGCTGAAAACGGGCCTCCTTTATCTGCATGCAGAGAAAAGCTACAGCCACAAATCCACGACTTGACTTCTTAAATTCCACACTGGGGACCCTTTCAGGACGAACGAGGAGACCTCTGCGCTGCAAACACATGTCTGTGTGCATGCGGGATCACCCTGTACCCGTCCTTTCAGCTGCTCTTCTATAGATCCTTTTATTGGCTGAAACTGCCTCAGTAAACATGCCATACACTGTTTAACTAGGTTAACTTGAATATCTATTGCTGCCCTTTTGAGGAAAAAAAGTGTGTGTGTGTGTATATAATTTAATTTTTTTAAGTGCAGAGGTCATATTGTATCAATTGATGGTTTTGTGAAACGCCAGGCCAATGCGCACCGCGTGTGTGGATCAGTCGTGCCGCGCGCTCGTTAGCATTCTATCCGGAGAGCGCGCGGTGCGGCGCCTGCGCGGCCTTTACACCGTGTTTCAGTCCTCTGAAGCGAGCTGAAGAGAGGAAGCCCAGCTCTCTGAAATGGTTGGAGTAGAGAGGGACAGGACCGAGGCTCAGAGGAGCATCATGAAAGACAGCGAGCTTAAACGAGACTCCGGCATCCCTGAGCGCGTGACGCTCAAGAAGGAGATTGGACTTCTGAGCGCCTGCGCGATCATCATTGGTAACGAAAGTTTATAACTCGTTTTCGTTTTGATTGTGGGCCATTCTTCCAACATGCAAAACCTATCAAGACTTATAAAGACAAATGCATCACCGATATTCGCCATTTTGTTAGTCCACATTTATATTTGGTGATTTTATGCACACTAAAACACACATTATGGTCTTTATGCGTTTTAATCCATGTTAAATATTTCTTACCGTAGATTAGCTTGTGATTGCTTTATTATAGACTATTAATTGCTTATTATTATTAGTTTTAAATGTGTTTATATATATACACACACACACAGTATAGCTCTTTAGTATATTTAGTTAATAACATAGTAACTGTGATCGTTTTGTTTTCCTGTATTACGTTATATATTTTATTTCTTTATTCCCCAGTTACATATTTACTCATTGTCTGTCTTAAAATCGATTCTCGGCTAACAAAGTACAATACAGTACAAACAATTAAGTGTAAAAAAAAACAACAACTTAAGTTTGCAGATATTTTTAATTTTGTATGTTTACTTATGTCTAAATCCGGTTTTTGGGGAAAGTTATTAATCCATGTTAAATATTTCTTACCGTTGATTAGCTTGTGATTGCTTTATTATAGACTATTAATTGCTTATTATTATTAGTTTTAAATGTGTTTATATATATACACACACACAGTATAGCTCTTTAGTATATTTAGTTAATAACATAGTAACTGTGATCGTTTTGTTTTCCTGTATTACGTTATATATTTTATTTCTTTATTCCCCAGTTACATATTTACTCATTGTCTGTCTTAAAATCGATTCTCGGCTAACAAAGTACAATACAGTACAAACAATTAAGTGTAAAAAAAACAACAACTTAAGTTTGCAGATATTTTTAATTTTGTATGTTTACTTATGTCTAAATCCGGTTTTTGGGGAAAGTTACTTTTAAAAGTAATGAATTACAATATTGCGTTACTTCCTAAAAAGTAACTAATCACGTTACTTTTTCTCATCTGCCTTAGCCTCATTTTTCTCTCTTCGGAAACAAACATACAACAACAACAAAAGAAACACAAATGTTATGTTTATCTAAAGTCATTTTTGCTTATTAGTATGAAAAAAAACAACAACTTAAGTTTGCAGATATTTTTAATTTTGTATGTTTACTTATGTCTAAATCCGGTTTTTGGGGAAAGTTACTTTTAAAAGTAATGAATTACAATATTGCGTTCAACAACTTAAGTTTGCAGATATTTTTAATTTTGTATGTTTACTTATGTCTAAATCCGGTTTTTGGGGAAAGTTACTTTTAAAAGTAATGAATTACAATATTGCGTAACTTCCTAAAAAGTAACTAATCACGTTACTTTTTCTCATCTGCCTTAGCCTCATTTTTCTCTCTTCGGAAACAAACATACAACAACAACAAAAGAAACACAAATGTTATGTTTATCTAAAGTCATTTTTGCTTATTAGTATGGTTGGTCATTGAAGGTCAACAGCAAAGATACTGGTGAATAAAATGGAATTAAATACATAAAGGATATTTGTGGTTAAGGCTAGATGGCATACAGCAAAAACTACTGGGCATGCGCGCATCAATATATACAGTTAACGTAATTTTTCTCACAGTGTACACTCTAAGAAATGCTGGGTTAAATACAACCCAGTGCTGGGTAACATAGGGACAAACCCAGCAATTGGGTTGTTTTGACCCAGCATTTTTTAGAGTGTACAACAATAATGACTATTTTTGCATTATTGTAAGGGGTAGGTGTAGGTATAGATGTTAATAAAACAAAATCTAATAGGTAGAAAATACAATTTGTTGTTAGCTTCCGTTTTTTGCTGTATCCCTTCTAGCCACAAATTATATTTGTGTTATTTAACATGTTTGCTTCATGTCCTGAGTTTGCATTTGACTGTTTTTATTCATTTTGAGAAATGCTGACTCTGTTTGTGCAAGTGAAATGAGTAAATGCATGTTCACATTTAGTCTACAGCTACAGTTACATCATGTTCACACAGCGCACACAACACCTCTGAACTCACTCCTGATTTCTCTCAACATGGGGACAGGAGAGCTGCCAGTCAATACATGGGAAAACAAAGTAACTGGTGCTACTTATTTGAAAAAGTAAATCAGATATTTTCTTGTAAATTAAAAAAATAATGCGCTACTTTACTAGTTACTTGAAAAAGTAATCTGATTACGTAACTCGCGTTACTTGTAATGCGTTACCCCCAACACTGTGTAAATTCAACATCCACCATGTGGGCCCTCTCAGATGTGTTTGTCCTCTTAAAAGGAGCCGAATGAAAGCTAAAGATTGTTCCCTGCGCGCCTGATGGCAGCCGGCTCTGTGATGGGGAGCAGTAGATTATTTATGCCTGCTGTTACGTAATCTCGTTGTACGACACTTGGGTGCTTGAGAGAAGAGCTGCCAGGATGTGGGTCAGTGAGGGGGGTGATCATTGTCTGCCTATGAAACTCTCAAAGGTACTACAGCAGGGGTGACGTTGACTGGGCAAGTAGTTTTGCTTGCTGCTGTATATTTATGTTTGGTATTGGGTTAGTACTTGTAGTGTAGTAACTAGTAATGTAGTACTCTAGTACTCTAAATATCCGTTTTGTTACATCATCTCAGGAATCACTGGGTGGCAAGTGAATGAAAAATTATATATATATATATATATATATATATATATATATAT